GCTGGAACAAGGTGTGAAGATGTTTTGTAAAATGGCTCATTTTCAACGTGGATCATCTGGCTGCAGCCAGGCACAGCCCCTGGACACAGCCAGCGTGGGGTCCCTCCCGTGGGCTGCTGGGCACCTCGGTGCCGCCTGCTCTGCCCTGTCCTTGGGCAGCAATGTGCCTGGCCAGCCCTGCACGTGCTCTGAGGGCCACACTTGGCTCCTGTTACACCTCTCAGTGCCCAACTACACATGGCTGGGGTGGGCTGGGCCTGCAGTGTCTGGATCTGACCCCCAGCACCGTGGGGCTGTGCTGGCAGTCCCACACCGGGATCTGTCCGAGCTGCTGTCATTTCTCCTGGGTTCTGTTACAACAAACGCTGTATTTTCATGGTTTCCTACAATAAACTGCAATGCCAAACTCCTCTAGAGCCTCCCTGACACAGGGGGGTCAAGGGGGTCACAGGGCTGTGGTGCTGGGCTGGCCATGGAGCTGTGAGACCAGGAATGTCCAGAGGCATGTCCAGGGCCATGCACGGGATCGGGTCCATGGGGCTGGGCTGTCCTTTGGGCCATGGCCAGCAGGTGCCAATCCTGCCCAGCCCGGGCACTGCTGACGTGTCATGTCCTACCCGTGCTCTGCCCAGACACGTGGTCAGTGCCACCCTGTCACAGGCTGTCAGGGGGCTCCTGGATCAGACATCTCCCCAGTGGGCCTAGAACAAATTCCTTCTGCATTGCTGGGGAGTCTCAGGGGTGGCCGGTCCATCCAGGGGGGCTGCTGGGTGCTGAGGTGGCAGAAGTGGGTATTGGAGCTGGACCCCCCAGCTGGGTACTCTGCATGGCAGCTGGAGTGGCCACAGCAGGGCAAGGCCCTGCCTGGGTGGGTGCCTGTCCCTGGAAATCCCAGCCCCTAAGTTGGAAGGGGAGGGGGCCACAGGGCTGAGCTCTCTGCAAACAGGCAACTCTTGGTAGGGCCCAGCCCTGCAAATCAGGCCCCTGTTCTCATTCCTGGGGCCCTGCCCAGGGTTGGGGGGGCTGAGTGGGGAAGCAGCAGTGCCAGGCACACTGCATCCCCTACAGGGCTCTGCCCTAGGCACACGACCCCATGCCCAGCTGGCAGAACGGATCTGGGGAGTGGGGTGTTACACTGTGCCAGAGCCCCCCATCGGTGCACCTCCCACAGCAGTCTCAGGGAGCCCCCTGTGCTCCAGAGACCCCTTGCCTGCACCCCAGCACAGCTCTGATAGCTCCCAGCACATGCCAGGGTTCCCAGGCACCTGGCACAGCCATGGGCCCCACCCAGAGCCCACATTCTGCGGCTGAGGGATCCGTCAGCTGCCCGCTGCCGGGCTGCTCCTGGGGCTGTTCCCGGCCAAGCACTGGCTCCTTGCCTGTGACCACATGGGCTTTCTTTGGGGAAGGTTTGGTTCCTTGTTTTTCTGCCTTTTCAGCGGTTGCCAAAACACTCCCAGCGCCCAGGAACAGGCCCAGCTCAAAGTGGGGCTGCCAGGGGGCCAGCGCTGTGCTCCGGGGATGGCTGTTCCCAAGGTTTGTGCCCTGGCACATGGCTCCCCGGTGCAACCACACACCCTCTTCCTCCAGCACCCCCCGGAGCCTTTTTGGGGCTCACTCAGGGAAGACCCTGAGCCTGCAGAGGCAGGGGAGGGGAGCAGGACACGCTCCCAATGACACACGTGCAGCTGCACGGCCCCGGCACCGTCACATTCCGCCTGTGCAGCCGTAGGGAAACCGGACGTGTCAAACGAGGCACGTTCGGTGGTGAACAGAAACCGAGAGCGCGGGAGGGATGAGAGGGATGGAGTCTGGCGGGACATGGCACATGCAGGGACCAGGGACACGCTGACACCCCCAGCACCAACCCCAGGGCTGCCTGGAACGGGAAATGAGAGCCACCACCCACACCGAGGCCAGCTGGGTGGGTGACAGCCACGTAAGGGAGTCACTGTCCCAGAGAATTCCCCCTGCCACACCATGGCTGCCCCCATCCTTTTATTTCAACCGCGATAAATATTCCCCGGCCGAGGACCTGCCACCCCGCCGAGCCAAGCCCGGCATCAACACCCGCCAAATAGAGATATTTATATAAAATAACACCACAAAAAGAGCCATTGAATCCCCGGGGGTGAGCGCAGGGGGGGCACGAGCCCAGTCCTCCACCCCCGGCACGGAGCAGGGTTGCAAAGCCAAGCGAGTGCGGGGACCGTGGAGTGTGCGGGACCCTCCCTCACGCCCCCGATCTTTGTTCATCCAGTTCTGTCATGTGCACGAATCCGGCTGCTCCAGAACCATCCGGCTCCCGCTGCCCACGGCGAGGGGCCGAGCAGCACCGGGGGATGTGCCCGGGGCCGGTGCTGCTCCCCCAGGAGTGGGGGCTGCGGCCGCCCCCTCCCCTGGGCAGCCGCCCTCCTTCCCAGCGCGCCCTTCAGAGATTGTCGGAGCCGGCGGTGGGGTTGGTGTAGGTGAAGGTGCCGGCCCTCGTGGTGCTGCTGCCGGCCACCTTGGGGACAGGAAAGGTGAGGGGATGTCACACCTGGGCTGAGCCCCCACCCCAGGGCAGCAGAGGAAGATCTGCCCCCTTCTCCAGGACTGCTATGGGCAACCAAGAATTGCATCCTCCCGCCGTGGTGGGCTGCTGCCCCCAGCCGCGGGCACTGTGGGCACCCTGGGCCCCCACGGACACCCCGATCCCCCCTCCCCGTGCGCAGGAGGAGCCTCGGTGGCCCCGGCCGTGTTCCCGCACGATAAGCCGGCCTGGCAAGTGCGAAGGTAAATATTTACCCAGGCCCCTGGTATTTGCACAGGGTGAGCTGCTCGCAGGGAGCCAGAGCAGCTGGACACGGCCCCCGCCCACAGCCCCGCATGGGGGGAGCACAGGGCACGGGGCGATGGGGCGGCCCCCGTGCCCAGATCGCCTTGGAGAGCCCTTGAGCCTCCAGGCAGCTCCCTGAGCCACGCCCGAAGCTCCAGTTTCGGAGCTGCTGGTGCAGGATGAGGGGTGCTGGCTACGGGAATCATCAGCCCCCCATCAGCTCTGCAGTGCTCCGCACCCATGGCCGAGGATGCCGTGACAGCAGGAAGGTCTGGCTGGGGCACAGCAGAGCAGGAGAAGGGGCAGGGTGGGCAGGCAGGCAGCTCCCTGACGCTGCTGGGGTTGCAGGGAGCTCCCTGGAGCCAGGCCGGGTCTGCCCACGCCAGCCGCACACCCGCTCCCAACGCTGCTCCAGCCAAGCGTGAATGTTACGCTCACCTCCCGGAGAGGGAAGAGCTCCCCGGACTCCTGCCATCCCCGTTAGCCATTAACCCAGAACCCGGGGGATGCGCCCTTGCTCTCTGCCCTGGCAGCAGCCGGGACCCCAGGGATGGGGCTGTCACCTCACCTGGCTGTAGGGGTTGGCTTTGCTGTTGGGGGACACGTAGCGCCCGTGGCTCTGGTACTGGAGGTATTCAGCCATGGGGTGGTAGGAATCTTTCTGGCTGAGCAGGTCCAGCTTCCCTCGGCTTTTCCGGCGGCAGGTGCAGGTGGACTTGGGGAGAGAGAAGAGGTCAGGGCTTGGCCAGGGTGTGGGGACAGGGACAGGGCACCAACCAGCAGAATGCAGGTGAGGACTGGGATGGGGATGGGGCCTCACCATCAGGAGGAGACAGGTGAAGATGCTGAACAGCAGCAGGATGCTGACCAGGACCAACAGAGCGATGGCCCAGTCCGGGACCACAGGCACTGGAGCTGGGAACATCGCCGTTGTGGAGCCTGAAAGGAGCAGAGCTGTGTCTGCACCACTGGCAGAACTGGGGCAGAACCCTGAGAGATCCCTGGGACAGGACACCAGGGCCTGAGCCCTCCTGCATGGCATCCACTTGCTCTTCCCAGTGCTGCCTGACGCAGGCACTGGGAATGGGCACCGGCTCCGCCCGCTGCAAGCCCCAAGCCCATCACAGCACCAAGCAGGCCCCTGCCTCAACCAGGACGGGGCAATGCTCATGGAGCCCCCCAGGCTCCCTCCCCAGCCTGGAGCCTCCCCTCACTCTGGATGCTGTCCAGCTGTAGGCCCATGATGAAGCCGTTCTGGTCCAGGCTCTTCCTCAGGCGCCGCTCAGCAGCGTCGGGAGTGACAGCGTCGCTTCCGTTCCCAAACACGAGGGTAGACCGGACCTCCACCGAGCCTTGGCTGCACGGGAGAAGGCATCAGCACCCGGACTGCCCCCTGAGGGGCTGCATACAGGGGGGATACACCTCAACACACCAGCCCCGTTGGCGCTGCTGCTGCTGCTGCTGCTCACCTGTACTGCAGCTCGCTGCACCCAGCGTAGGTCTGCGTGCCCATGCAGCCTGCGCAGCCAAAGACGTGTTCGAACTGGAAGGAAGCATTGAGGTCATGGCCACCTCCCCACAGACACCCCCTTTCCTGTCTCCACGCAGAACTGGCCTGGTGGCTGAAGCTGCTGGCAGAAGGGATGCTCGAGGCACTTCCATGGAAATCCCTAAGGTGAGGTGGCTCCTTCCCAGCACGGCCCAGGGCCTCTGCTGGTGGGGCTGGGACTCACCATGGCCAGGACGGTGCGGCTCAGGCTCCTGTACTCCTCTGACGCCGGGTCACGCAGGCTCTCGTTGAAGCTCCTGTTGATGATGCGGAAGGACAGCGGGACACGGACGAGCAGCTGGACAGCAGCAGGCAGCTGGGCTGTGGTTTTGCTGGGGTTGGGACCATGCTGGGTGGGGGTCTGCCTGGGAGCCGTGCTGCCCTCAGACGTTATCTGGGTGGGAAAGACCTGAGCACTGGTGCTCCTGTTGCCTCTGGTGCTGCCATCCATGGTGGTGGGAGCAGCAGAGCTGCCGTTGTGGGGGATCCAGCTGCTGTTTGAGGTGGCATTGGCATGGGGGATGGCTGGGCTGCTGGGGACAGGCAGCACAGTGCTGTTGGATGTGCCGTTGCCTCTGGAGCGGTTGCCAAACTGGAAGCTCGTGGTGTTTATGCTGGGGAACACGGTGGCATAGGGGAAGACAGAGGTTCGGGGTTGGCTGCCCCCTGTGCTTTTGGGGAATATGTTTGGTAACAAGGTGGTGGTGGTCGTTTCCGTGGTCATCTCCACGGTGGTCGTTTCGGTGGTTTCCATCTCCATGGTTGTCTCAGTGGTCATGGCACGTGTACCTGGAGAAACCCCTGAAGTCAACGGCTGCAGCCCAGTTAGGGAAGGTTTTACCCAAAACAGCTCATCAGCTGGACACTGTGGGTAGCACCACAAGCCCCAGGAGCCAACATCCAGTGGCTCCATCCGCCCGTGAGGCTAATGAGACCTTCAGCAACACCCCACGATCAGGGCTGGGCACTTGTGGCAGCACTGAGGGTCCAGGTGGAGCTGGCTGGGCACTGACACCAGCACCAGACCCTTCTGAGGTGTCCCTGACATGCTGGGGGCTCAGACATGCCACCCAATAAAGCTCCCCTTGCTGTGGGTGACAGGCTGGGGTGTCCCCGTGCCCTCCAGACCTGCCTGGCCTGGCTGTGGGCCAGTACAGGCAGCTCCCGGGCAGGTTCCCAGCGGGTGCTGCAGGAGCCGGCGGCACTGGAGGAGAGCCCGGGGTCCGAGTGCTCACCGGGACACACCTGCATTCCAGCCCGCAAGCCCCGGGCACAGCCTGCTCCGGCTGGTCCCGGCACAGCCCAGCCCTTGGCCGAGCCCTTCGGACACGGCAGAGG